GAACGTTGATAAAGATGCCATAAAAATTATGGATACTACTGTGTACATAAAGCCTTTTAACCCCGACATAAATGCCAATCCTGAGAAAAAGGTATTTGTAGGAAATTTACCTGAAAATGCTGCAGTCAAAGACTTAAAATTGGCGTTCGCAACCTACGGACCTCTAAAAACAGTAACATTAGTCAGTCAAAGGAAGTGTGCTTTTTTAGAATTTGAAGATGTTAAAACTGTAAGGAAAATTCTGAATATGTTTGCTAATGGCCAAACATTTTCTGTGTTGGATACAAAAGTGTATGTGAAACCTTTTGAAGTTCAGCAGGATTGAATGCTTTTGGAATCAGACATCAGAATACATTGTAGAATTTTACTTCTTCAATTGAAATTGTACGATCTAAAATTTCATTTAACTTTCTAGTCTTCATTTTTAATTCATTCCAATTGGAATCCAACTTATAATTTGTATAGCTGTTTTAGGTTTAATGAAGACTTATGATATTCGTTTTTGGGGTTTATTCATATTTTCTGTTTTTTGTCTTTTTGACAAACTAATTTATATGTTATGATTTTACATGACAGTTGATTCTTATGTAGCTGTTCCAACAGCTGAATGCATGAAACATTTTTTTAACACAAACATGATCCTGTTAATCTGTTGTAGATTATTTTATATCTGATTTTACCTTGTAATTTCTTACGTAGAAATTTATCTAATAAATCTGTAACTATTTGTTTTTACACATTGTCTGTTACACCTATGACTCCAATAAAGTGTTATGTATCCTACATACATAACAAATTGGTCTTCCAAGTGCTTTTTTAAGGACCAGTCAGATTGGAAATTACATCTTGTTCGGAAGTTTGTTATTAGATAATCGGCTTACTGTGATAATCATTAACACGGTTTCATTAAACCTCCCTAATCTTGTAAATTGTATTAGTTCAGGTAGCAAGTATAAGCTGATATGCTGAGAGGTGGTATATTTGGCTCTGTCATTCTTAAAGATGGAGAAACTGGATCTTGAAAGAGACTTCTCAAGATTTTTCGACAAGGAAGATTTTCCTCACACAGTTTCTGTATGTTTGGGTGGACAACAATTTGCTACCTGTTCTGGTATGATTTTGGCTCAGCAAAGTGTTATCATCGAGGATATAATATGTTCTAATGAAGGAGTTCTAACTTTGAATAATCTGGAAAACTACACTATTCCTGAAATTCTAGAATGCTTCCGGTATTTGTATGGAGCAGACATTACACTGTCCTTGGAAAATATTGGGACCATTCTGACCTTTTCCAGTCTCTATGAAATTAGAGATTTGTTTTCTTTAGCTTTTGATTGGATACTGAAAAACATAACTGTGAAATATCTAATCACCCTATTTGAAATTTCTTCTAATTTGTCCTGCAAACATAAACCTCTGCTTCTTCGTGTCTTGGATAACTTTCTCGCAGACAACATATCTGATGTTATGATGGAAGTGAGAAACCGTCTCAAAGATGGTAAAAGACTTGGTTCTGAGATCCTTTCTACAATACTGCAACAATCGTTTTCTAGCTGTGGTGATATTGTACTTGCTTGGATGGCTCAAGACCCATCTAATGTCTCATTTGTTTTGAATAATATGGATTCAATAGACATGTTTAAAAACTTCCCTCAGGCTGATGAATTTTCTAAACTCATCTCGTGTCTTTCTGCAAATGCAGACTCGTTGCAAACGATGGAGAAGCTCATTGAGTTGCAACAGCATTACTTTACAAAAGTATCTAAGACTCTTCAAAATGAACCACCTGTCGCTGCTGTGGATGGTATCAATTATTGTGAATCAATATGTAATGCTTCTCATTTTTATAATCTCGATGAAGGACTCTTACATATTTTACAATGTCGTTCTGATTATTCTTCCACTGTCTCTGTTTCGAATGTACCTGTATATGCTTCCAATGATGATGTTGTACTGGCCCTGTCAAAAGTTGGACCTGTCAAAAGTGTTATTCTGATTAACATCGATTGCTTCAACCAATTTGGTTTTGTCTCTTTTGAAGACAAATTTTCTGCCAAGGAATCTTTATCTTGTGATATCTTTATTCATAGAAACAAACTAGCTGTTAAATCCTTTATCAAGCCTTCTAGTTCAAAATGTTCTGATAGAAAGTTATTCATTAAGAAAGTCCCCGTTCGTGCTTCCAAGAGGGACATAGAAAGATGCTTTTCTCCTTACGGACCAATAAAAGATATTGAAATTATCAGGCATAAAAAGTGTGCTTTTATAGAGCTTTTTGATGTCAAGATTGTTGCCATGTTGATTCATCTTTCAATGAATGGTGTCACATTGAGGATTTTAGGAAAAATTGTCTCAATCGAAAATTTTAAATTTAAGGTTGAGAAATGACAGTTTTAACGGAGCTAACTTACACAATATAGCATGACATTACTTATTATTTGTCTTAAAAAGTTTGAAGTTAGCACGAATAATTTCTTAAAGAATTTCAATTTGGTGATGTATTAACATTTTCAAATTCTTTTTTAATCCTTGACTTCTGCTGTTTAAAATAAATGTGATGTGTTTAATTTTGGTTCAGTTATCAACATGTATTTAAGTATTAGAAAATGTTTTATAAAATTTTCATTCAATTTGTGTGATTAAAACCTATTATACCTTTTTTATACTTGTAAGATGTAGTCCCATATTACTGTGTACTGTGTAGTGTGTAGTCTTTAAACTTTTGGTCACTCTAATGACGCCTTTAATTCTTCCAATATAATGTAAACTTGATTCATAAATTTCCTCATCACATGATGTGCTTTATTAATTTTAGCTTCAAATCTGATCACAGTTTTTTTTTTCAAATTTATATAACTGGATTATAATCTGATAAAATGCAGAGCACAGTTGTCAGGTGGTTTAAAGTGATGGCACGGCTGAATCTTAATCGTGACTTCTCTAGATTTCTTGAAGATGAGACATTCCCCCATCGAGCTGAGGTTCATTTTGGTGATAAAGCATTGATATGTTCAGGAATGGTCCTTGCTCAGCAAAGTTCTATCATTGAGGGACTTATTCGTGAAGATTGTGGAGTTTTAATGTTTGAGAAGATTGAAAATATTGGAGATATTGACCAGAAACTTGAGTGTATCAAATTTATGTATGGAGCTCCCTTGGCATTAACCCTCCAGAACATTGATACCGTCATTAAATTTGCCAGCTTGTATGAAGTTATGGATTTATTTCATAAATCAGTGCAATGGATAGAGAAGACAATATCTGCAAGAAGTTTGTTTGCAATTAATGACATATCCAAATCATTCGAAAACGAAGATCACCAAACCAAGCTCAACAAAGTCATAAGTACATTTATCTCCAAGAACATAAACAAAGTTGGAGTAGAATTAGCTGAGAGAATTGCTCATGGTGATGAAGTTGAAATTGAGTTGTTTGTCTCTATTGTTAAACAAAACCCTTTCAATGGAGCAAACTTACTAGTAGAATGGACCAATAAATGCAACGAAAACAAACTTAGTATTCTGGAGAAAGTGGAGGAGTTTGACTTTGTTACTCTGTTTCCCGCCCAGGGAGATTTTACTGGTTTCGTTGCTCTGCTCTCGGAGGGATCAAGTTCGGTTGATGTTATGAAACAGGTTCTTGCTCTTCAACAAGACTACTTCGTAAAGAGTGCAGCCAAAGTGTTACAGCCCCCACAAGTAGCAGAAGAAAGTGCTGAAGAGGAGGTGGAAGAAGTGGAGGAAGAAGAAAACGAAGATGAAGATGAAGATGATAGTGAGGAAGAAAATGATGATGTTGCATCTATTGCATCGAGTGCTCGTACAGCCAACTCTACTGGCAAGCCTAAATCAAATCGGAGTGGAAGAAACAGACCAAAAAAACAAAACCGTGAAGAAGGTTGGAAGTCAGTTAAAAATCCTGTGGAGAGTAGGCAGCAAAAACAGAAACACCATAATGTAAAGGATATGCAACCAAACAACAGAAATAAACCTGCGACAAACCAGCCGCAGTCAAAGGGTGCTAGCCAATTTAGGAGTTTCAATCAACAAACAAATGCAAATCCTAAGTCTGGCCTGGTGGGAAAGTGCAAAATATTTGTTGCAAATGTACCATCAAACGCTAAAGCTGTTGACATCAAGCCACCGTTCAAGTTTTGTGGTGCCATAGTGAACATAGATGTCCATATGAACAAAAACATTGCATTTATCGAGTTTAGTAACGAAAAGGGTGCAACCACTGCACTGAGCGCTGCTAAGCGTGGGGTGAAGTTTACAGTGTTGGGTCAAACTGTAGTAGTCCGTGAGTACACTCCCGGAAAAGGAAGTAAATCATCTGTTGTTTGAAATTCGAACATGCAATACAATTCCAGTGATTCTCATTTATGATTTATTTAATTTTTGGATATAACTAACGAACTAAGTGACATCACTTGAATGATTGATGATGTTATTTCATGATTAATCAAACGCAAGTTTTATCTTAATGTCTTGACTAGCTCGAGCCTTTTGCTTAATTAACAAATTTGAACCAAATTTTGAGAGAGTTTCTTTGTATTATTATATGTTTGAGTGTGCTTTTTATATTGATATAGCGTTAGTGTGTTGTGTGTGATGTTATAGCGTTAGTGTGTTGTTATGATGTTATAGCGTTAGTGTGTGTGTTGTTAGTGTTGTTAGTGATGTAAGTCAGTAAGTTATCGTTCACATGTAAGATGTAAAACTTTTACACAATAGCTAAGTGTAAAGACTAAAGTGGCTTGCGAAGGAGGGAGTGGTTCTAAATGAATGCTTATATTAGTGGTATTACATCTAAAAAAATTACGTGCTTTTCATTTTTTGTTTCGGATCTGTCAACGTCATGGACATTTGATAATATTTCATTCATCCTAGCAACCTTTTTGGGACATAGACATAAAATGATCGGCTACCAAACAATTTGACTGTTAGGCCGATGACATGCAAAATGTCCCTAAATTCCATCCTAATCACCATCTCCTAATCAGTGTTAAAAGTAATGTCCGATAATGTATGTGAGAACGGATATGAAGATTTGGAGGAGGACTTCACAATTGGAGAGGAGTACCAGGTAGGGGTTACAGATTTAGACATATTTTATATTCACTACAAGTGTGTATTTTTCAGCTATCGACTATTGGTGAAAGATGGGTTAAACTAACTCGAGTGGACTTAATGCCTCAAGTCTTCTCACTAGTACTGAATAATTTTCCTACCCACAAAGTTTATGTGTACAAATTTCAGAACAAGTTATATGTTATAAGTTAAAAAATTATAACTTACGCATTATATTTTAGTTAACTTACACATTATACTTCTTTGGCACTATTTAAGTATTAAGGAAGCCTTTCCTGTAAAGCCCAAGGCCGTTTAATTGAACTGTATTATCAGAAAGTGAAACGAAAGCTCTATATTATATAATATGTTGTCTTGCTCCTTTTTCTTACAAATTGGACTATTTTCAGGAAGCAGAGGGTGATTGTGTAGAAGATGAGTACTATGTAGAACAGGACGAGGAGGTGTACGAGAAAGAGGAGGAGGAGAAGGAGGAAGAAGTGAAGGAAGAGGAGGTTGCGATAAAAGAGGAGAAGGAAGATGAGACGGAGAGAGAGGGGGAGGGTGCGGTCACATTTGAGGAGAACGATGAGTTTAAACGGTTCGTTAGAGGCATTTTGATAACATTCCTGACATTAAATTAAATTAATATGTCAGATAAATATGCCTGGTTGTTTAGCTTTTACTCGATTGCTCACAACGGACGATATGCTTTCAGTGAGGAGGAAGAATTAGAAGAATCGGTAGAGTTACATGGTGAGGACGATATAGTGTTCTCGCAGGACTCAGAACACAACCTTAACGGTAAGCTATAGTGTTCTCAGGTTCTCGCAAGACTCAGAACACAACCTTAACGGTAAGCTATAGTGTTCTCGCATGACTTAGAACACAACCTTAACGGTAAGATATAGTGTTCTCAGGTTCTCGCAAGACTCAGAACACAACCTTAACGGCCCGGTAAGCTATAGTGTTCTCGCAGGACTCAGAGCACAACCTTAACGGTAAGCTATAGTGTTCTCGCAGGACTTAGAACACAACTTTAACGGTAAGCTATAGTATTCTCGCAAGACTCAGAACACAACCTTAACGGTAAGCTATAGTGTTCTCGCAGGACTCAGAACACAACCTTAACGGTAAGCTATAGTGTTCTCGCAGGACTCAGAGCACAACCTTAACGGTAAGCAAATTTGATATTTGCTTTTCAGAGCTCAGAGCTGCTGGGCGGTCTTACTGCTTCGATAATACCTATTAGAATACATCGTAATATTTGCATAGAGTAAACATATACTTAATGCTTCAGCTTTACTTGGGGTGTTAAAAAGGTGTTACAGAATACAGGGGTGTTAAAAAGGTAGTTTTTAACAGATTGAGTAATTGCTATAAGGAGTGGCAGCTTTGAGACAGACTGTTAGAAAACCTGGAATGTACATAGTGTTATTGAAAATCCAGTGCAAGTGTAAATCCTGAACAGTTTTCAGCGCACTGTTTTATGCTAGTTTTCTTTACTACTGTTGATGAAATAAAGTTTACGTGGTGGCAGTTTATTCGCTATGAACATATCTAATATTTGTGTACAAACAACATTACAATAATTTATTGTTTACATTTATTAACCAATGTTACGTGTTACAGATACTGCTGAAGAAGAAAACGAAGAAGTGTCTCAAGATGGGGATCGTACTGAGGAGAAGGGGGAACAAGAAGAGACTAAGAGCGAGAAGGCAGAAGAAGAGACAGTGATTGAATGTACGCTTACTGAAGAGGAAAAGCTTGCAGAGGTTCGGTCTCAACAGTTTGACGCTTTAAATGTCTGGTGTTTTCAATAGATAAATTTGATCGCAGTATGATCACATTTTGTGAATATCGAAACTGCAAAAAGTTAAGTTTGAATTATATTGGTCATATTAAATAGCCTTGAACGATTCCCATTTTCTTTCCACAGCCACCAAATTCCTAAATGAGCACGGGTCGGCACTATCAAGTGTCAAAATGTCGATTTGGAAAAAGCTAACCTTAGAAAATAACATTTGATCGGGGCCAGGTTTAGTATCATAATATTCAAAGTGTGTCTCCTCAGTACAAGATATTGGACGGCTACCAGCGCCAGATTGACGAGGAGCAGTACACACTCCGCAAACTACGCAGCATCGTAGGTTAGGACACATCTTTTTACAAGTCTAAATTTACATGATATCACTGAATTAATTGTTAGGTCTTAAGAAAGTCATGAGACTAGTAGTTTCTGGGAAATTTGTAACTGCTTTGCTTTAAAGCCGCAGTTAATTAAGAGCTGGTATAATTGTCAAACGATATTTCAAGCTCATTTACTTGTATGGACCAGTTAGCAAAGGTTTTATTCTAAATTTGGCAATCATAGGACACCAAAGTGAAGATATAGAGAGGTGCAGGAAAAAGATTGCTAGTTATACTAAAGAAGCAGAGGATAGAAAAGCTATGGAAGGGATGGAGAAACTAAAACTTCTCAAGGCGTGAGTCACTCGAAAATTAGAGCTGTTTTTCTCGCTGCTTGAATCAAAAACAATTTTAGGGCAATCTTTTATAATCTTACTTTTGATTTCAAAACTGACATGAATATCATTATCATAATGACTCGACAAGTTTTTAAGGCTTAGTCCAGATCAAAAGTCTAAACCCGACCATGATCACCCAGATTCTTGTTTGACCATCTTGACTTGGGTTCTACAACACAGACCAGAAATGAAACAGGATCAGATGACACAGAAGAGACCCCATATGAATTCCCGATATCTGAGCTTAAGACTAGCTCAGATAGGTCGGTAGAGGATTAGTATTACCCTGATCACCTTACCTTACCCCATTGTAGGGACCGTGAGCGGGCAGTGGAAGAGCGCCGTGTATCAACCGATGCTTTGACCGAGGTGCGGGCTAAACGGAACGATAAGGTACAGGAGCTCAAGGAAAAGGGGCTCAGGATAGACCACAAGGCGATCTACCTTATTGAAGATAAGGCCCTGAAAACCCTCCTGAGAAGCATCAGGACAACCCTAAAATACAACAGTTTTGCTACCCTGAAATACAGCGTTGAGGAGCTCGATGATGTCATATTCAATGTGGCTAATGTATCGGATGAGATTGATGAATTTCTGACATCTCGTGACATCAAGCCACGTGACATCAATAAGCTGAACACAAAGGAAAGGAGGGTCAGTGTGCTGTATGACAAGCTTATCAAGTGGAGGCAGTATAAAGGTATTGTCACGTGACATCCCAGTCGGCAGGAACAAGCCGGCAACTTTCTTTTCATTATTATCTCTTTTGAAAATCAATCTAGATTGTTCCATCAAGTATAAACCTACATAACTGGATATTAGATGGAAATGGACCTTTGCACCGGAAATTGTGTCCATATTGGATGTCAACGTTCGGAGATTTGAATCATGAACATCAACCGACCTCCTCCATAAATCTTAGCATTTCCGACATTCGTTATCTTTCGAATGGCTACTCACATTTCTTTGCAAATTTGCACAATCATTAGATTTAATCCGGCAAATATCGTGTATATACAATATTTTTCTAAGCTTGACCGTGGTGTTACCATCTAGTGTTAAAACGTATGACTAGCTATGCGGTTTAAGTTTTCTTTGAACTGTGCCTGTATGGCGCCTGAAAATGATGCACACTTCCCACACAATAAACGTTTTAACAACAGCTCATAACACCACGGTTAGTCTGTAACGTTAACTGTGCAAACTAACAGACTTCTCCCCAATCAGTGGAGGATCCGGATATCCGGGCTACAGATTACGAGAGCTTCATGTATGATCCTGAAGACATGTTCTCCGACAGTGAAGATGACAAGTCAGAGTCTAAGGAGGACAAGGTAAATAAAGGGCATGTGTTATAGGAGTATGCGTAACCTGGTAACCTTGTTGCCTGCACAAAGCAATTATACCTGCAGCTAAGGTATTTGCAGTGCAGTTAAACTATCTGCGGTAAGGGGCCAATAAAGTTGGCCTGTCGTGTAGATTGACGTTTTAAGACCACTTAAGACTTACAATGATTTATAAATATGATCCTGTTGACTCCTGTTGCAGGATATTTATAGTTGAGAGCAGATAAAATCTGTTATTTTGAAATTCGGGCAGTCAAAGTGGCTAATTACTATCCAGCATTTGTTTTTGTTAATAAAGGAATCTGAACGGAGAGTGACTTTTTCGGATTATCTTTTGCACCATTAGTAGGACTAGCCATGTATTGAAAAAATTCTCCGCATCTGTTCGCCTTTTTTGTGTACGTGATGCAAGGCGTGACTTTAAGGTTCTAACTCCTTCTTATTTTAGAAACGTCAAGACCGGCCACGCCGTGAAATGAGAGCAGTTCGTGGCGGATCAACTGACAAATCTCCCGAAAAATCTAGCAAATCTGAATCTCGCGCCCGATCTCCGATCCGCCCTCCCACACCTCCTCCCGAGAAGAGGAAGAGTCCAGCTGCAGCTGCAGCGAGACCAGAGCGACGTGCTGTGCGAGGTGGTTCACCTGATGAGGATGAGCCTGTGGAGAAGAGACCTCTCGCAGAGAAGAGACCTCTCCGAGCTGAAAGGGGCGGAGAGTCCTCAAGTGTTGGGTGGGTTTTTTAGAACATTCTTTAGTCGCGAGGAACCCCTTTTTAAGTTAGCTTCTTCAAGAACAGCCTATCCTCTATTTTTAGAATTTACCGCGGACAGCGGCTTACTGGACGGTTTTATTGCCCCCCTTTTATTTCCCTTGATACTGTACATAATATACTCTTTAGACTTGTCTTCTTTATTTCAAACCCTTACTTTCGGCCCTGTTTGACTGTATTCCCAAATCAAGGTATGTACAGTGTTTAAAGCTTAGTTCCCAGGCGTGCACCCCCTCGTGATCAGCCAATAAGAAAGAGAAGAGCTGAGCCCCTCGACTCTTCAAACTTAAAAAGACGACAGATGTCCGAAACTCAAGGACGACCATTCAAAAGGTCTCCAGCTATGAGGTATTGTGAACTCTAAATCGGCGATTGATTTTTAGAATAACTTTTGGTGTGTGGGAAACGGCTCAATTGAGTGATTTGACGCAATTGCTGAACCTTTGTCATAAAATGTCGATATAATAGATATGCTCGCGCGCGAAAAAAACACCGCCCTCCGTTAAAGTGCACCCGGCCGGATAGAATACGTGCCACACGACATGGCCGTCCTTGGAATATTTGGAGCGCGCGGAAGCTGCATTAGTATACAAATTGTGCTTTTTCGCGCGCGAGCATGTTCTTAGCTTAGCTTTATTATTATATATTGACATTTTAGGTCTTTATTCAGACCAGTCGACTTGTTTCTGGGGTGCATGCCAAAATAGCAAACCAATCGGTATTTTTAACTAACGTACTATCACAGAGACACACAGTCCACAAGAGATGATAGAAGACCGTCACCTAGAGAAGTGAGTTTCTGTAGAAGATACAATTAAATCGTTTCATTATTGGTACACTAGTTTGATAAACAATAGTAATCAGATCTAGTTTAATACTTAGAGATAAATGACTTGTTCACACTAAATGTTGAGAGTGAAATGAAAATGTTCAATGTACGTAACTCTGAAATTCATCCTATTCCAGGACCGACGCAGTTCGGGTCCCCAGAAGTTTGAAACTGGTGGATCTAGGCACGACGACAGACCTGGAAACAGGTCAAGAAACACCGCACTTTTGAGGACACCCGCCGTGAAGTCTAGCTCAGACAGTCGCCGCTCCCCCTCTCTTCCTTTCAGAGGAAGAAAAGAAAACTTTCAGATCAGTGTCAGGAACGAGTCATTTAAACCAAGAAGTAAGTGTAAGAAAATTCCCCCAAAAAATTTGATTATGCTTGTTAGCTTTGACCACAGGAACAAAACATGAGACACGAACAGATCCTGATCTTGTTTTCAAAATTAATTTGATCTGTAAGAGCTATAATTTCACTATAATATCCCTCAGGCCCAGTACAAGAAAGGAACTACAGGCACGATAGATCACCGCCGCCCAGGCAGGAAAGATCACCACCACGTGCCAAGACTAGGGGCTACCGCGGCGGTTCCAACTACAGGGGCAGAGGAGGCGGCAGCAGAGGGTCGGGTCGTAGATCGGACGAGTTCGACAAAAGGCAGGGTGGGAGCGGTTACAGGCGATAGAAAATGTCACATACAGCCATAATTAGTGCTTAATGGACTAAATTCTAACTGTCGGGTCTTAACAATGACGTATTTAGCGACTCAATGAGATGTGGTTGCTTAAAGTGTAGACTGAGTATTTTCTATTTTAAATGTTCATTGTAATGCTATCCACTTTTAATATTTTTTTAATTTATTACAGTAAAGATTGTCTTCACTTCTAAATGAAACAGATTAGTAAAATAAATACCATTCCAATAAAAATTCATCATTAAAAAGAATTTGTCAACACTAATTTTCGGCGGCGGCTTCAACTTTAGCTTCCTCAGCTGCAGATTTAGCCTTCTTCTTTTTCTTCTTGCCACCAGCCTTACGATTAGCAGATTGTGCTAAGAGTGCCAACACATCTTTGTCTTCAATTTTATGTTCTGATTTAAACAAACTAGAGTCGAAAAGTCCGCCATTGATTCTGATATTACCGTTTGGAACTACTAATACTGTGTATTTGAATTGAGCGACAGGCTTTCCATCTGTATCCTGCTGAACAGGATAAGGATGAACCAGCTCGTGTGTGACGCACTCCTTCAGCCCCATCTTAGCCTTCTTCTCGTCTTCAAATGCTCTCAGTGTGAAGGGCATCAGGGTGAAACGCTGGCAAACGTCGCTGAAGAACGCTCGAGAAGCTTTCATTTTGAGGAGATAGGTTTCATCAGATCGTTTGTGAACGGTGGTGCTCACGTTGGACTCCTTCATCTTGCCACTTCCTGGTGTCACGAATACGTCCATTGCGTATACCTCGTGAACTGCAAACTCCATCTGAAATGGTAGTTGTCAGCAGTTTTTATTAGATAAGTGGTAATCTATTACTCCATTTTCTAACCTACATTCAATGATTACTGATCATAGGTTAGAGTAAGACTTTCATCAGAAGGACTCTTAAACGACACGGTAAACTAATGTAATATCGGCGAAAATCTTAACAGAAATATTAACTCGACTCACACTTTTGATTTCCTTCTTCTGAGCTTCATTTGGGTTAAGAACTATCTGCTTATCAGTCGCGCCCTCTGTCTGATATCTCTTTATTTCGTATGACAACATTCCCTCCAATGGTGAGCAGTTGTACGCGGCGGTTATCTTCTGGATCACCTCTGTTATCTGAAAGTGAACATACCATGAAGGGTGGCATTTCTAGGTCACCAAGAGTTGAGACGTAACTTAATCTAATCGGTAAGAAACGGCGTTTCGAAAATCGAGATTAGTCGTAACTTGTGACGTAAGAACATCTATGATACGTTTCAGAGAAAGCTGGCTTTTCGAATGTTTCGGAGACTACGTTTCTTTGACTCTTTTCATATCAGGCTTTCAGTCACATTTCATTTTAACATACATGCGATGACCACATGCTTGTAAAAACAACCGCTCAAATTCACCTCCGATCACGTTCAATACAATTCCTTGCGAAATGTTTGAAGCCGCGCACTCGCGCGAAATTTATAGCAATAATAGTACTGAGGAAACTCGTTTTACCGCATAAAACGGTGGAAAACTAGCAATAGGTGGCAAAAAGCGGGGTTTCCGGAATCCTGCGTTTGGTCACGTCTAGAAAGTTCTTCAACAGTACCTGCTCGTTGGTATTTCCAGCCTTTATGAGTCTAAGTGCGGCTTCAGCACAATAGTGAGCTGCCATAACAGCATCTGCCATCTCTCCAGTGGCTGGGGATTCAGCAGTTGATCCGACTATAACTGAGTGAGCCCCCACTCCTGCATAACTGGGAGATTAATTGAATTAATTTACATAGCATTAATTTACATGACTGTCATTTACATGACAATTAAATCTTTTAAGCGGTTAGCGTTTCAGCGATATGAGGGGGCAACGATCATATCAAGAAATGTGAATGACGCATTACAAAAATATGGAACAGAAGATTTGAATCGACCGATATCGGAGTGATTATGTCATAAGAATTTTTTTCTCTGGAGAAAAGTAATTTATGATGAGCAGGGATTTTCAAATTAGGACTGACGTCTTGCAAAATTTAAATCAAACTTTTACTGAAAAAACAAAGTGATATAACAAGTAGAATTGAGAAAGGGATCGGCAATATAACAGATAACACAGCAGCCTCACTCACCCATCTATGTGAACTCCAAGTTCGATCTTAACGAGATCTCCTTCCTTGATGGTAACTACTGGGTCACTTCGTAATGGCGAGAAATGGCACACAATCTGAGAAAGTGTGTAATTACTTAATTGATTAATTATAAGCGACTCTAATAAAGTAAAAGGGATGATTCGTGTTTAGTGGCAATCTTATTCCCAGGGGATTATGGAGATAGAGGTTCACGGACAATTAATCAAGATTAATATTTAACTGCCACACTAACTACTACTGCAAATGCTGCTAAACTATTAACCCGAATTAATCTAAGTAATATTAAACTCTTATCTTTCCAACGAATAAAATTAGAGTCTTTACCTCGTTGACGCAGATGCAAGTAGGAAAAGCGATTCCTTTCTTCAGTGACTTATCTTTCTTGTAATGTTTAGCTGTCTCATCTAAAATCATCTTATCACCAAAAGAGCAAATATCGATAACATTCGCTCCGGGGATAACTTCATTTATAACTGCCTTCAAAACCTGAGGGAAAACAATGCGATTAATTGACTGCAACAAGAAAATTGGTAATTTTAGATATTACCATAGTACAGTGTCTTGAATGATAAGATCATAACTTACTTTGACAGCTTGGTACATACAGAAGTTAACTACCATTAACAAGAAATGCGGCCGCTTTTTTTGTGGATGGCCGCTCAATTTCCCGATCCGTGATGGCGTATTTTATCATATTCCATACAACCTGGAGATCCCAGTTTTAACTGTTTATAAGCATGCAGATATAGCGGAGTGACAGGCCAAGCGCCACCAAGTTAATATAATTCCATATTGAATTTGAAAATCGTGTATATTTCTATGTAACCATATGCTTATTGTTTATGCAACCTGACACCCGACACGGATCTGTGCAAAATAGTAATAGTAACTCAAAATAATAATAGTATGCTATCAATTAGATTTAGTGCCTAGTGGGATATGTACATTGTGAAATTAATAATATACTTGGTCAGTTCAGCGCCGCGCGCCAACAATTATTTAATTCAGATTTGTGCGCAAAATAACTTTGCGCAGGTAGTCACGTGGGCGATAACAGTGCGCGAGGGCACGTACGCTAACTCGCAGGCACGCAGGCACGTACGGTCGCACGGTCGCAAAGCTACCTTATCAAAAAAAACCTCGATCGCTAACCCTTGTCCTTGACTCTTTTGTGCCTTCGGCACTTTGAGTCATGGATCGGGAAAAAATTCCTCTGTGATAAGGGGCCATCTACTTAGGACGTCCGGCAAATAGGGAGGGGGTGGTTTTGGAATTTTGGACAACTCCGGACAGGGGGAGGGGGGGTGGTTTCTGAAAATCCGGACGTCCGGAAATTTTGGCAGAATTAACGAAAAAGTCTCATTTATTTCAACTCTTTGAATTTTATTAACAATGAATTTGAGTTGGTTTTATTTGTACTCATAAAAGTAGCTGGAAATCCGAACGTCCGGGGGAGGGTGGTTTTGAAAATTCGGACACACTCGGATAGGGGGAGGGGGTGGTCTGAAAATCTGCGATTTTGGCGGACGTCCTATGTATATGGCCCCTAATATAAAATGATAGTTTTGTAAATCAGGTGATAATTTAAAAAATTGTCAAAACAAACCAAGTTGCTGATTTCTCCAGCAGTTTTGTATTTGGTGAGAACGGCGTCATTCTCTATCGTCAATTCCTCTTCATCTGAGTCGTACAGGTCTGCCATAGCTTAACAGATTCGGTATGGTTAGAGCGGTCATTTATTAACATGATAATGATGATAGCGATGTATGTTAGAGACAGAGCTGGAGCGTTTATTGACATAATTAATATAATTAACATATTAGGGATATACTTGTACTTCGATGGAAGTAATTCCTCTGAAATGTTTAGATCTAAATATTGATATTTAATGAAATGAAATGAGGTATTTATATCCTGCTCATATGATTAACCAGCAACACAAGGAAGGTGGTTCACCATGTCAGAGCGGCTAGCTGTGAGTGATATGAGCAAATGAGAAATGTGAACATTTACAGTGTAACTAAAAAATTGGCAGAGACAAAAAAAAACAAAGTAAAAAATAAATAAATCAAATCAAATTGTACATGTGACTCATGAACTTAGAAAGACAAAAATAAATTAGTATGTAGATGATAGTATTTACTCCAGTAGCAGGGAGGAGTTGAGTGTGCACTTCGATGTATAGAGTTTTTTGTTACTGGATAAGGTTAAATAAGTCATTGGTAACTCAGATCACCGAGGGCTGCATATTGTGTCGCTAGTCCCAACCCTGTGGAGCCACGCCCATATTTCATATCAGGCGCGTATATGGGAAATTTGTATCTCAGCTTCTGAAGGTCTTAGAGTCTCAAATTTGAGTCTAAAATGACCGCAATGCACATGTTTATATTGGCACAGTGAAGGTCATGAAAGCCCAAAATTTTTGGAAAAAATTCAGAAAAGCTGATTTTCACTTGGGCGCGAGTAAAAAAATCTACTCTAGAAATTAAGTGAAATTGGGTAAGAAGTTCAGTGTCTACAACGTTTATAAACACATCCTTTGTAGGGTCATTCTGCATCAGAATTCAGAGCGTGACGTCATGGTCGATATTGCAAAATCTTCATTAGAGGCCATTCTATTTCTACTGCGTGGGCCGGGGTTGACTATTAAGTTTCTTTAAAGAAGGTGGTTGGCAGAACCACCTGTATTTAATTGCTATTGTAAGAATAGTATTCTACCAGCTACCTATTCACAAACTTTATAATGCCATTTTATTTAAATATCACTATGATTTTAGCTGATCTACAAGCACTTACCTGGGGACCCCAGGCTAAGATTCGGCGGAATGGCAGGCTTAGCACGGCCCAGTGAACAAGCATCTGCTCAAATTGCCTTTTAAATTCTATCATTAAATCGATTCAATGATTTCTCTCCTTACAGCAGAATAGGCATTAGTGCCATAATATAAATTTTGATTTTGTTGCCTATGCAATGGTCTATGTAGCAAATTATTTGCAGCTGACAAGCCTGGTAATGAACACACCTGACTCAGATTTGTAATCTTTGACAATAAAAAGTGTAATTTTTCTTTGCCATTATACTTAGTGTACGTGACTACATGCGGTAAGCCAGTTTCTGTACAATTCGAAATTGCATCAATTAATATTTTATTTTTGTTATTTTTTATTTATATTAGGGGTCGTTCACATATTATTGCGTAATCAGCGGAAGGGGGAGCAGGTTAAGTTCCCAAGTTTAGTTCTTTTGGCGGCCAAATTCTGAAAAATGCCCGGAAAATTTCAGAATTCGGCCGCCAAATTTAAAGGCCTAACTCAAAATTCCACTCCAAAACTTAAGGTCATCAGGAAATTCTACGATGATTCTGAAAATTTCATGAAAAAAATATTGAGGGGGGGGGGGGTAGGTCTTGATTACGTTTGATTACAGAGGGGGTGAGGGGTAAAAATTGCTAAAATATTGATTACGTAATATTATGTGAACGACCCCTTAGCTCCTTAGTTAGTTTGAGCTCAAAGAGAGGCCCCTACGACGTTCAGAAGCCGAGATAGAAAAGTCATATATTTGCGCCTGGGGGTAATTTAGACGTTTTGCACCCTAGGGTTGAAACTACTAATAGAATTTGCATACCTTATCAACTTTGAGTCTCTAAGACCTTCAGAAGCGGAGATACAAATTTCCCATATACGCACCTGATATGAAATATGGGCGTGGCTCCACAGGGTTGGGACTAGCGACACAACATGCGGCCCTCGGTGATTTGAGTTACCAATGACCTATTTAACCATATCCAGTAGCAAAAAACTCTATACATAGAAGTGCACACTCAACTCCTCCCTGCTACTGGAGTAGCAGGGAGGGCTCTATAACTTGAACAGCTTATTATAAGGGAGTATGTGCGAATATGGTTTATAAACGAGTATATAAAGCCAATTCATAGAAGCTCTCCACTTTTTCGGTGCTTCATAATTCAAGATATATAGAACATTTTCATCAAAATAATTCAAACTAGGATCAATTTATTTTGATCAACGGCTGTGCTGAACAAACAAAATATTACATATATTTTAGAAGTTTACTCTCAATATTCAATAAATGAGAGCAGCTAAATGTAACAATAACCTATACTGTCTACAAAACCGTCAACAGTATGGTTATTTACTATTTAGGCTCAGTCGAACACTTTAAATATGTTTTAAATTGCTTTCTTTACCATACAATTTTGTTTCTACTCTATTTTTAATCAGTATCCAAAATTCAAGTTTCACTGATAGATTTTTATTTTAACATGCAGATGTTAAATAAATAAATAAAGTCACATTTTATACAGCCCTATATCGGTAAATATTTGAGTTAGTTAAATAAATTTAAAGATAAAGCTCACGAATAAACGAAACGTGAGTTAGTGACCATCACATTTATATTCTATTGTCACTAAGACACACACAATTTACACGACTGCTATAATTCTAGTTACACTGGAGCTACAGCTGTTGCCCGTTCCTATACATTGTTATGTAAAGTTCAAATTTTTTAAATACCAAACGTCTTGTTCTTTATATAGCTATTATAGGTAGTACCGTGCGTGTTTGTGTACATTTGTTAAATAATATAATGCATGTTAAAAGGACATAATTACTAGACTACATTACTATAACATGGGCCACACAGTTACATTAGGTCACATCCTACGAAACATAACACCCCACATGATTCGATGTTGTTTGTATTCATTATTCAGTGTGGGTCCCCATAGCTACATGACTGTGTCTTTCTTTGCGCGGTTTAATGCCTCTCCTATTATACAGTGCATAAGTTTGTAGTTTGTTTGTAGTTTAGTTACTTTGTTAAATGGTTGGTTAGTTGTGACGTTTTGGTCACTATATTTGTGTAGCGCTTTGAAGCGCTTCAATGTGGTTTTGATGAACTTTATGTTAAACTTATCTAGTTCTGACTTGCCGTCTTGGAACTGTTTATATAAAACGTAACCAAAAATAATCGGAAATTTGTTATTGATCTTGATAGTAATATTTGCAATCTACAGCACAAAATGGAAGAACGTGTAGGTTATTACCAGACATCACCAGACTATGTCAAATTGAAACTAGCTAAAGAAGAACCTAAAAAACCAGTTGGATTGGCCAGGTCAGAGTTGATAAAAATGATTATTTTCCTATTCCTTGGTCTTGGATGTCTTGCAGTAACTGCATTTGTGTATACTCAGGCCAAAATAACGGCACGGGAGGAACATCAACTTCTCCTCTCAAACAGAACAGAGTCTAACCAACCCATGGAGGATTCTCAGACAGAACCTCTCTTCTTCAAACCGTACCATGTGGTGGTTATAAGGATCCACTCACCTCTCAATTTCTACTTAAACGATATCCTCAAACAACTGAATGAGCAAAGCTATGGGATCAGTGATACAGTTCCCACAGGTGCGCCAAATGATGCTGAATGGTCTTCAATTTGGACAGAAACTACAATAACTAGCTCATCAGAAAGCACTAGCTCACCAGAAAGCACTAGCTCACCAGAAAGCACTAGCTCACCAGAAAGCACTAGTAGCTCTTCTTACACATCCACATTTACATCATGGCTGTCCTACGCTCCCACCACTGCCTATCTGGGCGCTGGTGCATGGATGCAGACACAACTGGACTGGATTCAGGAACAGATAGGCTGGTTTGATCAAAACTTGGGTTTTGGAATGTTCCCAACTAAAGATCTGCAAATATATTAAGGTTCCAAAAATTAAAACAGTATTATTTGAGACTGAAAATTGTAATGTAGTTAAAACTGTGATAGCGTACGAACTTTTTGCCCAATTAGTCAGCTAATTGAGGATGGTATGTGACCAAGTTGAGGTACTGGAAGTCAAAATCGGATGATTTAAAAGTTATGTACTGTAGTTAAAACTGTGATAGCATGAAAAAATTTAGCTAGGGGGAAACATCGCATTATTTAACTTGGTTGCCCAACATGGCAATAACTGCAACTGAGTCGCATGACTTTCACCCAAATAAGCAGAAGCCAGAAACATTATGTGATGCATTCAGTAGCTTGTGAGTACAAGTACGACAAGACATTAATGATATATGTAGATGAACAATTTGGTGTGTAATTGTGAACTTGAATAAGACTGTGAGATGCATATGATACACGGACATACTATTCTTATCCAAAAAGCATGAGCAATTCATTTGAATGTTAGCAATACTGTGGCACCAGATCTTAATATTAATCGCATGCTGTTTGTATTCAATTATCATCATGAAAAAGACCGACAAGAAACTCGACAGGAGATCGGACCTCTTTAATTCCACGTATCGAGGGTGCAAGTCAGCTGGATCCACCCCTATTTCAAGCCCTGTTTTAAGCCGAAAAGTCACTAGCAGAATACATAATAGGAACACAGAGCCAGATGCAGATCTAACATCTGATGGAGACTTTGTAGATGTAGAGAGCAACGAACCAGCATCGATCCCAGGAACGCTACTCTCTAAGTGTCCCTGCTTTGTAGAGTCAAAGAACCCTGCAATCTTATGTGTTACTTGTAAGCAGACCTTCCATTCTAACTGTGTTAACCTTGCTGGCCTCACAGCAACTTCTCTAAAGAAGCTCAGCACTTCCTGGAAGTGCCCGGACTGCTTTATCTTTCCTTACACAAGAAGATTGAAGGAGGAGGAAAAATCCAAAGCGTTAACAGAATTCTTTAGCAATATTTCTAAGATATCAAAGTGTAATGAGGAACTCAAAGAAAGTACAACAACCATAGAGTTCTTCAACGAGCATATCAAACACCTCATACTCAAGGAGGACAGTTGTTTCAAAGAACACTCCAAAAGAACAGAACGATTAGTGACTGGAATTGAAGATATCACTGAAGACATAGCTTCTATCAAGGGTGTACTTACGAAAGTAAAGGAGAGTGGCTCAGCTCTTGAGACAACCAGCAACTCTCTCAAACAGGAGATTGATGGCCTGAAGGACTCTCTCAAAAATATACCTATGACAGAGCAACCTCCGACTAACAGCAGTACTTTCGATCATGTTGACAACCTGATGACCCAGATCAAAGTGCAATTGGAAAAGATCAATGATCATGTATGTCCCTCAACGTCCACACAGAACTTTGATGAAGGTGAACTACGTTACAATGAATCTATCCTTATGACCCCTAACACTACTTCTCCTCACTTTGCTGCATCTCAAATTCCTGAAGGCCCTGCATGTGACCCTTATCTAACTTATCAGGAAGATATAGTGCCTGTTGAGCTTCACAGCAAACTTATAAAGCTGCTGGAGGACAATAGTGCGGATTTTTCTTCGGTTGGTGGCAGCAGGGATGTTGTCTACTTTGGTGAACATGGATACTGGTACACAGGAGCCTATCATCAGGCAAAGGAAACTCCACCGGAGATACAAGATCTTTTGGACTGTGTGCGTCCCTCTCTCCCCAATAGGAAGAGCTGGCTGAACTCTTGCCTTGTTACAAGATATACAGGCAATAGTAGCCATATCCCCCAACACTGCGACAATGAGGTTCTTATTGACCCAGAATCGATAATAGTCACTGTGTCCCTTGGTGAAGAACGCACAATAAAGTTCACACATAAGTCGACTGAAAAGTCCTTAAAGCTCAAAGATGGAAGTGTATACGTGATGTCCAGAATGTCCCAAGAAATCTGGAATCATGGTATTGAACCCCTCGCTAATGAAGAAGATGGCGAGGAATCTGAAGAGAAAACTTCTGTGAGGTACAGCTTTACCTTTAGGCATATTGCGCCTTTCTACAAAAATAGCACAGTGTTAATTGGAGACTCAAACACTAAGTACATTAAATTTGGTAAAGATGTTGGAACTCTAGGAAAATGGGTTCCCGGTAAGCGAATGTGGGCTGCTAAAATCGACGATATTCCTGCTCCCAAAGACATAGGCCCCTTTCGGAACATTGTTATACATACGGGAATCAATGATATTCGAGATGATTCCAA